GGGAAACTGGAAATGAATGCTTCCACTTCTGCTCAATCAAATACTACTGAAGAGCCTATTCATAAAACATTAACACCATTGCCTAGAAAAAGACATCCACAACAAAAAGTTGTTTCTCCTCATGCAAGCCCAGAAGAATTTCAAAGCCAGCAAGAAGACTTAGCATGGCTAAGTAATAGTGGGACCATCAAACCTTCTTCTGAAGCATCTTCTATAAATAAGCGTGGAAGATGGGGTTTGAAGTGCGGATTTTGTAGTTCTGTCTATAAATGCAGAGCGCATCTAAAGAAACATGTTTATTCGGCTCATAAAGATAAGAAGATACATAAATGCTGCTTTTGTAAAAGAACCTTTTTCTTTTCTACTGTCCTTAAAAGTCACCTTAAATTTCATAGGAACGTTACTAGATTGCAAAAAGCAAGAAAAATGAGAACAGATGCAAGAAAAATGAGGCAGAGGAAATCCGAAGAAAGAAAATCTGAGACCAAGGGAAAAGGAAGTAAATACAAGAAATTTTTCATCGAAATTGAAAGGGACTTCACACCTCTGGGTGAGCCAGTTAGTTTTTCCTGTAAAATTTGTTTCTTTGCTTCATCAGATCCTAGGATTTTTATTCATCACATGAAGGGACATAAAGGGAGGTCACCCTACCAGTGTCCTCGGTGTGATTACTCGTGCATTAGGTCATCCTATCTGTTAAGTCACTTGTGCTGGCATGCTGGGGATAAGCTCTATCAGTGCAGGTTTTGCACCTTTTTATCATTATATCTTTCAAGCATGATAAGGCACAGCTACTCCCACCGTAAACCGTATTTCTGTGAATTCTGCCAGTTGGCATTCACAAGCACCGCTGGGTTAAAGAGACACAGAACGTTACATGCAAGCACAGAACCACACCAAGGGCAGCAGCTTGACTTTGTAAGGGAAAGGAAGAGAACTCTAAGACCTTTAAAGAGTTACACGTGTGACGAGTGTCACGTTGTGTTTTATACTAGGGAACATCTCGACTTTCATAAGAAATGTCATGAACAGTTTAAGGCTACTGCTAAGATTTATACGAATCAAAGCAATGAATATCAGAAAAGCAAAATATGCAAAGCTGACTGTCGTTCCCAGGACCGTATTTCTCTCTCTCTTTCTGGTAATGGAAATGCTTCTCTCGGTGGGGGAATGCTGGCTTCAGAAGGAGACCTTGAGCGAGCTGGTGATGTGCACGACGATAAAAAACTACGCTCTGGAAAAAGGTTCCCAAAAAACAACCATGGGAGCAACAGCTTGCCTGTTATTGCGAATAGATCAGAAGTTCCTCTGAATTCCTACGAAGTGGATGCTGCAGTTTTCAAAGAAGAACCTCTCCTCAGCTGCCAGGCCTCTTACTCGCAAGTTCAAGATGATGATGCGTATCACAGGTTTGGGGAGAACTTAAAGGATGTGTGGCCTCACAGTTTGTCTGCGTTCAAAATGTACAAGTGCGAGCACTGCGATTTTGCTACTGCTCTTCACGGCGACCTTAAGCTTCACTTACAAATACATACAGACAAAAGACCGTTTGGGTGTAAAGAACGCAGTAAGACGTTTGAAACATCAAACCATTTGCAGAAGCACAGTCTTACTCATGTGAAGAATGGATACGGGTTTGACCATTGTCTGTACGTAGATCACCGTTTAGAGAATCTTGGATTGCATCATGAAATGCATTTACGCCTGTCTCCGGAAAGAGATTTTGGTTCCTTGGAAAGTTCAAACAGCATCCATTCCTTTCTTGGTTCCGAAGTGTATGAACTGAAGCCAGATTCCCCGAAAGGCAAAGAAAACGGTTTGCTAGCCCAAAGTCAGGCGGGGTTATATCAGTGTACAGAGTGTGATTACGCTACTTATATTTTAGGCAACCTTGAGCTACATATAAGAACCCACACAGGTGAGAAACCTTACAGCTGCAGCGTCTGTCAGAAGAAGTTTCGTACTTCGAGTCACCTGAAAAGACACAGAATGACGCATTTCGATATGGAGCACCTCAAGTGCAGGAACTGTGACTACTCCACAAACAAATGGTTGTCTTTGAAACAGCATCTGGCTTCGCACTCCTGTGAGGAAAGCTCATCTACTGGCTTTCTCTACGAAAAAATGCAGCTGCCTGGCAAAACCTACATGTGTCAAGAGTGTGGTTATTCCACAGCCCGCAGTGGAAATTTGAAGCTACACTTGAGGATTCATACAGGGGAGAAGCCGTTCAAGTGTGAGCAGTGCGGTGTTGCTTTCCGCACATCCAGCCACCTGAAGCGCCACTTGCTGACTCATTTGAAGCTGCACTGCCGAAGGTGTAAATTTTCTACGGTGGATAAGAGCGCTTTCCAAAAGCATGTGAGAGCACACAAAAAGAAGTTCAAGTGTGCAAAGTGCAGTGTGGTGCTGCCTACCAAAAAGCTGCTGGAAAAGCATAAACAGCAACATGAGCTTGAAATATGAGCGGGAAAGTTGCAAGTTGTCACTTTGTGATACTGAGAATCCTAAAATTAATGATTTATTTTATGTAAATGTCTAATGCTAAACTAGCACGAAATGTCGTACAGCTTTTTTTTTCGGGTTGGTAGTTACTGCGCTCTCTGTTTCTTCAAATAGGCAATATACTTTTTGAAGAACTGTGAATCTAACCCCTTACTGCTATTTGCAAATATTACTTGGTTACATTGAAAACATGAGTGTTTTTGATCCTCAGAATGTATTTTATTGAAGAACTTTGCTCTTCCTCAAAAATACCACGTCAAAGGACGACGTGCCAACGAACACTTGTATGGTGAAGAGGGGTGCTTCCTTCACTTTATATTCAAATCTAGACAAATCTTTGCTTGTTTTACAGGGTCCTACAGTGCTAGAAACTGAGGGGATACCACTGACTCTAGCATATTCAGTGGTACTGGGAACAGCAGCGTTACGCTCTTTTTGGAGGGAAGCCAGTGGCTGAAGGTGGGTGCTGACTGTCCCCTAATGTTACAGTTCAGCCCAGGAAACGGCGAGTAAACCTGTAGCTTAATTTAGAGAATGTGAACGTGAAACTCGCACTTCGTAGCTGCTCTCAAATGTATATTTTTCTTTATAAATGTAGGTAAGATCTCGCTGGAGGCTTTCTAGTAGTGTAGGAGAGAGGTTCGAAACGGTTTCCCAGAGAGGTGTCAGAGCCTCCTTTTTTTTGGGATACTCAAAAGCCATCCGGGCACGATCTGACAACCAGCTCTGGGTGACCCTGCGTGAGCAGGGGTTTGGACCAGGTGACTTCCACAAGTCCCGCTGCCGTTCTGTGACTTGGAATGCAGTTTCCCAAGGGTAGATTGAACCTCATTAATAGATGTGTGTATTTAAGGCCTGGTCAGCGAAGGTATTTATGTGATCTGCTTTGTAGTTGCAGTATAAATTTGGGGAAATTAAGTGTCTGGGAGCCCGAACCCTGTTGGTTATGGGCTGCAAGCTGGGAAGTTGCAATTTGGGAATGAGTGATTCAGATTTCGGAATGACGGAGCTGACCGCCAGATCCCGTTGTGAGGAAGAAGAATGTTATCCTGATCGGAATAAATAAAATCACTTCTGGGAAATATTAACACTTAGACAAGCATGAAGGAGTTTGAACCTTCAGTTCTGTACGGTTCGGTCATTTATTTGAAGAAAAATTGAACAGGTAAAAAAGGAAACGAAAATGGTGAAGAGAGTTGTAAGCCTACAGATCAGGTGAGACCAGGAAAGCAAAATTTTGTGAGAGAATAATTTAAAAGATTGGTGTAGGATGGTGAAAAAAGGAGCCTATTTTCAGTTAACTGAAAGAAAAGAGTTTATAACCAGCGTAAGTTGTTTTTTCTTTTTTTTTTGTTTTAAGGAAGATTACCAGAAGACATTTTCAGATGTATTTGATGAGTTTGTAAAAATAGTTATTCCAGCTGGTTGCCTCTAATAAAAAGAAATAAAGTGGTTTATGACTCGTAAGGTTCCCCTCTGTTCCTTATGCCATGCACTGCACTTTTGGGGACTGAAAGTGATTCTTAGTCTGCCAAATGCGAGAAATTTAAACATAAAGGCGTACTTGTTTAAAAATAAGGACGTGGGCCGCTGATTTTTTTTTTTTGATAGCCTGAAGTGTAATATTTTTTATTCTTGCAGAAGTTCAAAAAAAAGTCAAAGCCTTACCTTCTTCATGCTGTGAAGTTTTCTATTTCAGCCAAAAAAATTTGCCTGTTTCTTCATGAACGCGGACGGAATTTGGACCAAACAGGAGGATGTCATTGGAAATCAGTTGGTGACAGATCTTGGTGCCGTTTTATCTGCCGTGCGTCTACTAAGTGAATACAAGTTAAGCACACAGTGAAGTAATTGGCTCTAGGCCAGTCGGGCCGTGCTGGGTTTATCTACAAGGAAGAAAACAGGACGCATTTTTTTATTTTTTCCAGGCAGGCCTGGGCTGATCCGCCGTGC